ATTTATTCACACTTACCAATATCCACATGACAATCCCAGCGAAAAATGCGGACACGAAGACAGCCATGCACATCGGCCATAGTTTGAAGACCTGCATAACAACCATGCTCGCCATCATCCCCGGCTCGTCGACAATCGTCATRAACACTGTYCCYCCTGACTCGACCAACGGAACAAACGCATGGTCGTTATAAGTCATCTGGCCATAYCKCCCTGTAATCGGAAAACTGATTTCKGAATCATCTTCGATATCTCCYCGAACGACGTTCTCGTCTCTTTTCACAGCATAGCTATGTTCGGTGACGAAATCAAACTTGATTTCACTCTTCGTGTGTTCTAAGCATTGACCACAGCATGTTTTGGTCAGCATTTTAAGCAAGGAGGGGAATATCCCACTGATRTTGTATTTATTGGTGTAAGGAGGGTTTGACCACCAGTTACTGTACATCCACCGATGGCAGTTACAGGTTTCTATGGAAACAGRAAATAATGTAAGTTTTCATAGCAACATGTTTCTGTAGAACTGAGCATCGTCAATGTTATCCAGGTTCGATCGTCTGTCGCTGGTTCCTCTGTCACAAGTAATAGGAAGGAGGAAAAAATAGCAACATAACTTCATCGCAACTGGTTTCTATGGAAACCGCAAGAAACCCTTGTTTGCCATGACAACATAACTGCAACATAACTATTTCTAAAGATGTTGTCAGTTGTCATGACATCAAGATTGCAAGAGGTTTCTATGGAACCAGAAAAAGACAATCAGTTCAATTTGCTACTTCTGAACCTACCAACATGGATTGCGTTACTAGTCACGCCATCTCCTTTCACCGTAAAAGCCAAAACCTCCACAGAATAAATGGTATATGACGTCAAGTTGGTTATTGTAAGACTGTGGACGCCTGGAGCCAAGACTATGACKTTTCTTGGTCCRTTTAAGAACTCGTCAGGATTTCTGACYGCTCTATAAATCACCTTATACCCAAGCAGAATGCCGTGAATAAAATATYGATTGCTGATTGGCTGCCATTTCAAGCTGATTTTAGTTGGACTGGTTTTGTTGATTGCAACRACGTTTTCTGGCGGCCAACTTGGGACTAAATAGTYAAATAGYAATGAATTGYTTTAGCAGAGTGTTGTYAKCAATCSAATCGCAAGTCGAAMSRATGATATCGRCATGCAAAAATGTTACGTACRTKTTTCGGATGAAAACGCTAGCTCGTTCCGTTGTGCGTCGCGATTTTTATGSCAAAGGWATGTGACTTAAAATGACATAATGTTAGGATGATACTATCAAAAATAAAAACCTACCATCTTGGTCAGTCCTGACTATCACTTCATTACTGACAGTCCCAAGTCCAACTTTAGTAAATCCCAGCACGCGTATTCCATAGTCCATATACTTRAGAAGACCCTTAAGAACAACCTCCAGTGAATCTGGTCCAACTTCCTCATATTCGTACTTTTCCTTCGTGACATTTATAGAACGATATAACACTCGATAGCCGAGTAGTATACCATGGACATAACGTGMTGGRATGGCTAGCCATGTCACTCKYAGGCTGGTTGAGCTTGTRTTRTATAAAGATAGGAACGTTGGTGGCTTACTGGGTACTGAGTGAAAAGTAACAATGAGTTTTAGTGGAGATAATATACTGCAAGCACTCAGGTTCCCATAATGCATTGTTCAAGAAAATGGCGTCGATGTGCTTCATTGCCAGTACCCAATTGAATAAAACTGACCAATCAAAAAGCAGTAAACTAAACCCAAAGAGTCACAGAACTGATAATACCGTTATCCAATCAGATTATTATAACGCACCCACGCTCTCATTTCACCCGGCATTTAATTTGATAGAAGGCTGAAAAATGACTGGTCAATGATACAATTTTTTTTTGTCCAAGTAGCACTATTTTAACAGGTATCACTATTTTACAAAACAAATCAAGTCAACTTACTGTCCTCAGCTGTTGTTGCTATAACGACGTCTGATAAGGGCCCATCACCTTTAACCGTGTATGCCTGTATCTGTACATCGTACTTGGTAAACTTTCTAAGGGATTCAAGATCTGCGGCGCTTGTCTCAGGGATACAACACTTAGTGACGATAGGTTCATTGCTCCCTGACCTCTTGTATTGTATTTTATATCCTATAATATCACCATTTCGACCATYCTTGGGGACTGGGCTCCACTGAACTATTAAACTTGTAGACGACGTATTTGCCACGGTTACTTGCGCTGGAGGTTGACTGGGAACTAGAGAAATAAAATGGATATTGATTTCTCAGAAATTTGAAAATTGAAACTCAAGAATATGGAAGAGTACTTTGACCTATCACTATAATTTTGCATCGTGSAACGACTTGATAAACTCAGAAAGCATTTAGGAGTTCAGTTACTGCTTGACTGAGAGGAAATAGTGGTTACGTGGATTTCCTTTTGGATTTCATCGCCGATGAAGAAATTTGAATTTTGTTATTATTTTGTGCCATCAGATATAGCAATCATCACGTGACTGATCACGTGATAGTGCARTCTCTTACCATCTTGATCAGTAGTGACCAGAACCCCCTTCGATGGTGCCCCTTCTCCTTTGTTATTAWAGCCAGCAACTTGCACCACATACGTTTTATACTTCCTTAGTCCCGTTATATTAATCCTATCGACGTCTGGACCAAGAGTTATGTTGTCATAGTGACTATCATTTCTCATTGTTACATCTTTGTAAAATATACGGTAACCAAGCAACCGACCGTTGTGGTATTGCTTGGGGATTGGGTACCAYGAAATGTACACCGATGAAGAACTTGTGTTGTAGGCCGTTTGGATGAGAGGAGCTTTTCCTGGAACTAGTGTGAAATGAAATAATTGTGAGACTATAGGTTAAAAAAACATATTACATTAATAAATCTGCAATTGTGTGTAAAATATGCGGAAATTTGGATAATAATATTCGCAAAATTTCAAACTTTTTTCATTGTCCTCTATACTCAGAGATCTCTTGGATTTGCACGGGTTGTTACTGAATGAATAGAGGATATTACATGGGCGCGCGATTTTTAWCACGAGAAGATAAAATTCGTATCTCTAAATGACCATGTAATATTTTGTTTATCATATAATTGTATATGGAAGAAAATTATGTCGCAAAATACCTTTTCTTACTTCCAGTATATAGAGAAATCTCGAAGGTGTCGAAACAACTTTACGAAACGGAGAAATATAGGTATTCCATTGATAATTAATTGATAATTAATTGATAAATAAAGATATTACATGGTTTTGAGGCTAACACAGTGTAAAAGAGAACGCTAAAAGGATTTATTACACTGTTTATTGCACTTTATCGACACAAAATCAAACACAGACAGACGTCGAGACACCTACCATCCTCTGCAGTGTAAAACTCCAACTCATCGCTCCATTCTCCAACGCCTTTCTTATTAAACGCTGCAATCTGCATTTTAWACARGGCAAAAYCTCCAAACTCATCAAATACGTATTCATTTGTTGYTGGAGAGATGTTCTTCCTTTTGTATGCAATACTCGAATGATGAGTATTGTTCACCTTATGATACCTCAGCGCATACCCTAACAAGTCGCCATTATGAAGTTCTTCGCTGAGATGGTCCCACGTGATAAGCACTGAGTCGTTGTTCATTTGGTGGGCGGACAGGTTCTTAGGAAAATCCCCTGGAACTATCAAAACAAGTTTTGTTTTATATTTAATTCCAATATTAAAGTTTGTTAATATTAGTATAAGGAGATCCGCATGTTGGTGGTATTATCATGTTTTGCGCGCGATCAAGAAAAGAATGACCCGTTGAGTCGTTTTGCGCATTTTGTAACGTCAAGATCGTGTTAATAAGACATGCAACTCAAAATCGTGCACAGTTTGTGAAATGCTTACTGTCTAATAGTTCTTAGACCCTGTTTAAACTATGAGATAGGGTTCCCATAGGTAGCAGTTCCAAACTCCTTATTTGCTTTCTTTTCTCCAGGGGATTTAAAAGAGTTTGAGTCTACAACCTAGGGCTACCCTATTTCATGTAAASAGTGCCTTAAGGCGGCAAAATACAATATACAGAAACCATCAAACTTGACGCGCAAAGTAGACTCTCGCTCTACTTTCAGATACAAATTTTGGCTTTGTTTCTCGTTTTCCATCGAGATCGAAACATGGCACGCAACAAAATCAACCAACCAGCGTGCGAAATTTCTTCAATTCGCAACAGAGGATTTTATTGCATGCCAAGTTGAGATCGCGCGCGATGAAAAACGAGAAACTTCGAACCTAAACTTGAACAGAAACAATGTTGCGCGCCAAGTTGATGGCTTTTTCAATAAAATTACTTGAYCAAGGTATTSGRCTTKATCTCTATTTACTAAAMGTATTACTYACTTTTTAAATCGGTATAAGCGCATACAGGATACGTCGCTAATCCATCACCACGTGAATTAAAAGGCAAAAGTCGTATACAGTARAAATGGTAGATCTTTAAATGTTTCAGTTCAACATGACTCGTGTCCCGTCCTTGAACAATGRTGCTGTATTTATTGTTCGTCTCGTCTGTGTAAACCAAACGGTAGCCTTGGACGTCTTCCTTCTCTCGTTTGTCACTTAAAGACCACGTGACGTTGAGACTTTGCGCGCTAACGTTATACACTTGAACGTTTAGACCTTTGTAATCTGTTGGAACTGGAAACGAACAGTTCTTGGTTATTTATTATAATTTGTTTTTGCTCGCTTGGTACCGAGTAAACATTTATCTTTAATGATCACTTCTTAATATTCGTTTACACTTCCGATTTTTGCGGTGCGATTGTCGCGCGACAATCGCCACTTTATTCTCGCGCACCTCAAATCGCCGCAAGTTGCAGGTAAATTTCAAGCTTCTTCGAAACTCAAAAATCGTAAGGTAAACGTGCCTTTAGTGATAGATAAAAATGGAAATGGAAATGTTGATCTTCGTCGAGAGAGTCTCAGAATATAACTTGTGTAAAATCCACGTGGATTGCCACACCCATATGGATAAGACTGATACTTAGAGGCAGGGTAGACGAATAACGCTATCCACCCGGCGATTAAATCCTTATTCAGAAGATAAAAATCCCATAGAAGATTTATGGGGGGGAGGGGGGGGGTTAATTTTATCCGGCCCTTCATACAATCTGCCCAAGGCCCTGTGATTTCCAAGTAAAAATTTCCGATAAGTAATATTGTTTTTTTAATGGGAAATTTCAGCTATAGATCTCCAAGACACTAATAAATCTAAAAGATTACCATCAGAACTGATGAGGTAAGATGTCTCGACCGGCATCGTGCCAAGCATTCCTTTCAGGTGCAAAGCGTCTTGCAGATCAACTATCCCATCGTAGCCACCTGACGAGAACTGCAGTTCCAGTTTGCATTGGATTCCACTGGGTCTACAAGACAACATTTATACATCACTAAGGTAAGTTTACTTAATACATGATAGTATTTTAGCGAGATCCCTGTGCAAAATTGCACAGGAATATATATAGTATATACCGGTTATTTTTGGAGATTCCAGGTTCACAGATAATTTCCAGTCCATCRAAAGCTGAAGTTGGGCCAAAAACGTTCTTAACCTAAGCAAACRAAAAGTGAGATGCAAAGTTGTTCATGTGATATGCGTGTCAGAGTATTTCAGAAAACATTTAATAAGAAGCTTACATTGTTCTCGATTTTACGACGGAATCTTTGGAACTTTTCACTTTCTCTATTGTAGAGAAAAGGTTGGAATTCTTCTTCGAGAAATCTTACCACCGTTAAGAATACGATATCTGAAACATTGTCAAGCACAATATTTATAGCGGAGCCTCTATATTACTGGCGCTAAAAGGTCGAGGAACTGCAATGTTCGTAACGYAAACACTGAATTCATTGMAGCATATTCATAAACAATACCTGGACATTTTTGAGTATTGCAAGCCATCGTCTCCATAGATGGACCRAGACTRGAACAATTCTTGCCTCCATAAGCAGGCATAGGATTATCACATGACCTTGTTCTCTTGCGCTTGCCACCACCACATGATACGGAGCATGCGCTGTATATCGACCAATCACCAAACCCTCCATCCACCGGACAAGGATCATCATTACAAATCTGTGTTTCCTCAGCGTACCCTAGACGGGAACAATCAATGCCACCGTATGCAGGAGGGGGGTTTGTGCAATCTCTAGTTCTTATTCTTACCCCACCTCCACATACTTTGGAACAATTGCTAAAAGATGACCATGGCGTATATCCACCGTTTACCGGACATTCCTGAGTATTACACAGTCTTGTTTCAAACGATGGTCCTAAATGTGAACAATTTCTACCGTCCCCTACAGGGGTGGRGTTATTGCAYTGTCTTTCACGTGACTGATTACCACCCCCACAACTACGACTACAGACAGAAAAGGGGYTCCAGTTACTATAGTTACCATCTACTGGACAAATTTTCAAAAAGCAATATTTCGTTTCTAATGTCGCATCAAATTTAGAGCAATCCTTTCCGCCATATTGTGGAGGAGGATTTGTACAACTGCGATTACGAGTTCTCATTCCATCACCGCAAGATACAGAACAGCTTGTGTAATTAGACCACTGACTTAAACCACCGTTGATTGGACAATGTTGAGTATTGCATGCCAATATATCAACTGGACCRCCGTAACGCGAGCAGTTTTTACCGTCGTATAATGGCTGTGGATTGGTACACGTTCTAAATCTCTTACGCTCCCCTCCCCCGCACGATTTACTACACGAAGAGAACGCTGACCACATAGTATAATTGCCATCGATAGGACATTCACGTAGAAAACAGTTCAAAGTCTCGTTGTGGGGACCCACGCAGTCTGATCCACCATGTTGCGGTRGTGGATTCGTGCAAGTTCGTGTKCGTGTTTTAGTGCCAAGACCACAGGTTACACTGCACGACGTGAAATTACTCCAAGGTGAAAAACCGCCATCGACTGGTAAGAAAAAAAAAATCGAACTGGTAAGTAAAAATATCGAATGAAACAATAACCACAAATGTACATGCATGAAAATATAAAGAAATTACATATTGAAATGAAACGTGTGATAGAAGGAAAGAAAAGAAATTAGAAAGGAAACAAATGGAAATTTGAAAATATCATGTCAAGTAAATAAGTAAACAACAWGTTAATGATATTAAAGCGTCTCAAGTTATATTTCACTGCATTTCCTATCGCCTATGGTCGCCACATCATGAAGGGCTTATCTATTATACAGATTTGCCAGCAKCTTGCTCAGCAAGGTGCATTTACAGCACCCACAGAAGTTTTTAGATTCGACCACGCTATCCATCTTGGAAAAGTCAAAATGTGATGAATTTTACCTAGAAGATGACATTTTTTCTAAGATGTGTTCTCTATTGTGACAATGAGATGATGAAAATAACTAACTACGAGTACGGAGTCTAGAACGACGACTGTACACTCTGATGTGCGTGAAATAACATAAAGCCACAATTACCAGTGATAAAAATAAATAAATATGATAAATMATATTCAAGTTTATTTTTGAACCTTCGCATAGAAATATTAATAGAATTAATTTTCAACCCATGAGTCGCGTGTACTACTTGTGATTATTCAAAAATATTTTCTTCTTTTAATAGTAAGAAGAAATGGTAATATGAAAAATGATGACAGTTTTTTTTTTTTGAAATGAGGTGCATATAAAACACTTGGAAAATTTGTTACTAAAATGCATCCCTTTCGGCCTTTTGCTCATGTTTGAAAATAAAARTACATCGAAGTATAAGACAAAACTTACTTTTTATCATCCCGGCCTGAATAATTGCAAGATTCGACCTTAAAACCGACGGATGAAAACGGATTGCGAATGGAAATTCGAAGTCAACTTTTTTTCCATATATGAAAAATCTAAAACACCACCACATTGAATGCTGGTGGACCTTGAACTGAAAAACACTAGCAAATAAACCTAGTGAWCTGTAATAATAGGTTGTATTAACTTCCTTGTCTTCTATTGTCTATACCATTTTGCGTTATTTAGCACTATTTGGCTTATATTTTTTTGAGCTTTTAGTGTTTTCAATGGCAGATTTATGAAATGAAGGAAAAATCATCAGAAATAATATTTAACAAAGATGCTATTAATTAACTGTCATACCTGCTTTGACTTTATGAAGATAACAGATCTCCTGTACTGATAATACCACATACCAAATCGCCAGTTCATCGATGGCAAGCCTACAATTCTTCATTAGAGCATAATTTGACCCCAGCCACATTTGATTTTGAGGAGGSACCATRTAGAACATATTTCGCGCTATTTTATTTTTAATAACTTTGTTTCCTTTGCAGTTCAAGAAGATATTTACAGAACCCTTGACTTTGTTCCATGATAAAGTCAAATGAGACCATTCTGTGGTATTCCAGGTGATTTCCACAGTTCTACTTAAGTTCTTATCATTCACACTCAACCCTAGAATTTCCTTTTTGGCGTAAAATGTTGTCCCTATAGACTGCTGCATTCTAGATACTTGGAAAATTACTTGATAAGAATCATCTTCAATGTTTTTGGTGTCTAGTTTCATCCAGAAAGCTACAGAGAAGCCCCTTTTGCAGTTCAAAGGCTCGCTCAAACATGTGGTAGAAAAGTTGCCCAAGTTTGCTCCAGTACTGAGAAGGCCATCAAGTTGCAAAGCGTTTTTGCTCACTCCTTTTATAATGTCTGCACCACCGTATACGCGACTCTTTCTGTAGCCCGTAATGTCCATAATGTGTTTGTTGCCGTCCATTTGGTTGAATGACCAGTAGTGACTTGACGTGCTATACCACGGATCATTTCCTGGAAGTAATACACGCCAGATTAGATAAATCTTTTTATCGGTATACTTACAACCAATATGAGCAATGTCGAGCTGTGATAGGCTACTTTACTATTACGGTATGAAATCATATCTTCGACTCATTGGGGGATAAAAAATCAACAAACAAACAAACAAATACATAAAAAAACAAAATGGCGGATGGAATATCATGGGTTGCTATGTTTGACKTTTGAAGACATTTCCAGATGTCGTTTAATCATAGTTAATTAATTAATAAAAACACACGTAGAAGAAACAAAACCCTAGTATTTATAATGAATCCTACGTACGAAAACATTTTAACTATGRTTTAATTCAATGTCCGAGTGCAAAAGGTTYGTGTTTCCATGTTCCGTGTTGTACCATTCCGCCTTCGACTTAATGACTCAAACTTACATATAAAATGCTCTATATTATCTACAGTAMGAATACAGAAACAGTAATAATGAAACAAAATAAGGCAGTACAAGAAGAAAAAAAAGTATTTGAGTATTCTTGAATAATTACTATTTGTCACTTCGTTGTTTGCTGGAAATTAAAATAATCATAAGTTTCAATSGCTGCAACGATGAAATACCGAGAGGTTTGAATAAAAATCCAATAAAATTCTATTTGAACAGACGTTATTTAAACAATACTTAGTTTTGTTTTTACTGACTCGAGGGGATCTTTTCCATCTAATTAATGAACCCACCCGCCGATCAAATCTTTGAGTTACCAAAACACTCAAATGTATGTATATATTTAGCTTCTCGATACCAGCTAGTGCCTCCAAGTTGGAGCAATTTCATTGGACTGAACCATCTTTCAGTATGAATTTAGTATATTTATACATCTATCTGAAGAATTTCCTCAACTTTCTTTCGTAAATGTAAAGAAATATGCCGTCAGTATGTCATGCGGTTATAATCCGTGGAAAAAATGACTGGCGTGTTTACACTTTTCACTTGTTAGAGGCTTTTGAAACAGGTACATAGGAAATTCCGTGGTTAGAAACATTTTTCGCTCGGTATTTCAGTTTACTAATGTACGAACAATAAGCGCTTTATTACGTAAGATTACTTTACACTTTCCTAAATTAATTCTACTCCTTTAAAGAATAGAACTATAGAAAAATACTGAATGTTGTTTACATAAAAAATATATATTTAAAAGTTAATTGCTGTCTTCTCTATATAATGAAATATTTCTCCATTATTTACGGCTGCTGCATATTGACCTCTCATATCAAAGATATTTTGCGTTTTCTTTTGTTTCTTTTATGTTGAAAAACTTTCCAATTATAGGACGGTTGGCATGAATTCATAAGCCGGGCTTTAGATTAGATGCTTATGGAGATACTCCTGTTTCAGTTGGTGTAGTTCTGTAAACACTGTATTCAAGATAACTAGGTCCGTGATAAACCCCATGGAATGATTTGTGTGAATTTTACTGAACARCGAATTTCACGTTCAAAATAATATTACATATTTAGTTTTAATATCGTAAAATATAAATGCATTATTGTGGACTATTTCATCTGCATTCTATGCATCAAAGGGACTCTAAACATTTGATAATATTACAAATGTAAGATGTACTTACTGAAAATCAAGGACGCGGTGTTTACGYTCGAGCCAGTTRCAAAATGATTTGCGGGAAATGTTATGATTGAAGTATATWGTATCAAAAGGACTTTGAGTATCATCCTAAGTGGTATCATTTTCGTCCACTCTGTTAAAGTCTACCTTATTTACTAAAATGAATTATTCACTTACCGATAATCGTACTCATTGATGGAAGAAAAGCCTGAAAGAAKAAATCCGATTTAATCCTGAATATAAACTTCATAATAATGGATATAAATAATCTTCATTAGTTTCAATAACCTTTAGTGCGAGTATGGYCCAAAGAATAGATCGTATCATCTCGTCTACTTCTTTCTAATCCATCGCGATAGACATTGAACAAATATCCAGTATTTTTGTTGGTTCCTTTCCTTGATATGGCGTACGTTGCAAAGTGAAGACTTTATTGCCCTCGACCAATGTAGATTTGTGGTATCTGAAATGAAAACATCAATAAATAATTGATTGATATAACATTGAGGGTGGGCTGAATCGCGCAGCTCTGCAAAGTATAGTAAGCGGCTTTCACTCTCTACCATAGAAACACGTTGAAAAACAAAACAGTCTTTGTTGCTTCGAAAATATTAATCACAGTCCATCGACTTATTTTCGTGCTTTTGTGAAGTAAAAACATTGTAAAAACATTTAAAAAAATATAACAATATTTATGTGTACATCTCCATCTCCATTAGTAGGCGGCTAAAAGAATTGATATATTTTCCCGTGTGTTGAAAAAAATTGATTAGACTAAATAAAATGTAAGYAAAATAGYGGAATTCCATGCATTCACAATAGCTCATACCACTTGCATATTTTAATATTTCATAGCTTTTATAACCTAAATATGCAGCCTATTGTCATTGTAAAGCGACAAAAGRCGAAATAATTGTTAGCCTTTGTATTGTAAATTGGAGTTAATATAGCTCTTAATGATGCTAAATGCAATTTAATTAGTTATTTCAATAACTAAAAGGACGTAGTATACAGTGTGAGTATACAAATGTTGTGGAAAGAAAACAAGAGATGTGTCTAAAAGAGTAAAAATAATAGAATACATGTTRAATTGACTATGATTCAAAACAAGGGATAGTTTGCGCCTAAAATATATWTTTTTAAATCAAAATGACTAAAAAAACTCTCAAGCACCAAATCTCACTTTTTCTGGTCACGTGTTCAATTCATTATTCAAGCATTAGATGACATTTTCCTTCTCTGCGAACAGAGCTACTTTCATGTACTTTTCTCACCCGCCGAGAAGCGAGAGAAAAGTAAAAAAAATAAATAATAATAATAATAATAATTTTTCTCTCTCTTTTTCTCTCGCAGAGTAATRTTTTCCGTGTTCCCATTCTGTTTTAGAAACACGCGAGATTGTTAGAACACGAGAAGGGTTTTAAGCCACGAGACGAAACTCCTGGCTTGAAAGCCATGTTTCTCTGCTCTCATAAAAACACGGTTTTTTKGAACATTTCAAACAACCCGCCTTATACAATAGTTATTTTATTTAAAGGTTTACGTGTACGTGATCTGCACTGAATTCTTCACAATTATAAGATCTCAGAAACATAACACATTTTAGAGCGAGCAGTAAAGAAGCAATWCCTTCAGACTCTGGAAGCAATATACGTTTTTTATATTACGTTTTTAGAAAAATTACTGATTCACGCTACAAGCAATTTGTTCTTGTTTTAGGGTTGTCTCAATGGAAATCGTGGTTATCACCTTCTCCCATCTAATCCTCTTCAAACGCGTAAACATGACATATATTAAAAAAAGATACCAAGCGTTTGTTTTTGAACTCTTAGATCATAAATTTACTTAATCTAAAGGGTTTATTACGGACAATGTATGCTTAGATTTTTAAATTTTGTCGTCGGTTTAATTTGTTACGGTGATATCGGCGTTTCAAACGTCATAATGGGCACGTTAGGGAGGCTTTATTAATTTGTACATTGGTCAGTGTAGGTAAACAAATAATTAAATAAATACGAAATGCAAATATAAAGATTTTACTCCATTATAAATATAGTAGTCCTGCTATCTCGGTGAAGACTCTAGAAACTGAGCCCAAAGCAGTTTCACTCAACTAGTCCACTTCTTCTCTTACAAGAGGTTACATTTACAAGCCACACTGTCACTGTACGTTGTATTTTCCCGCGTGTCTTTTATTCATCGYAGCTTTTGGAAACTTCGTCTGCTGTTAAGGCAGCTGTTTTCATTTGATTTTGAAACAAAAGTTTATCAAGATGTGATCGTAACTAAGGAAAATAAAGCCGTTTTAACGGAATTACTGATGCATTTTACCATGATTAGGCAATCACCGAGAATATTTAGACTTCACGGTTTTAATGCCATTTCGAAAATTTAGTAACWCGATGTGTAATGAGATTGCTTGTTTTCTGTTAGATTTGAGACTAAAGGATTTATGACATGGATATTTCCCGGCATCTTGACGTGCTGTATCGAAACGGTAATCCTAGGCTTCTGATACAGAGAAAAGAAAACAATCGAATAAAAAGTAACATTAACCTCAGCATTCGSCCGCCATATTTCATCTTGGGCTTCCTTTYGCTTTTGCCGAAGGCCTGGTCACTAAACGATTTTCAAACATGGCCGACATTTCCGACATTTTCTCATCAAAAAAAACTTCAAATTGCCTAATTCAAACCACACAATATCATAGATAATAACTCSAGAACAAGACGAATTAAACGCCGGCAACCTCGTCCTAAGAAGAATTCGCTACTCGCCATCCAGAAGTGAACCGAATATGGCGGGAAAAACGGAACGTGTCCACGAGGAGCTAGCCATGTAACATTCCATAGTAATAATATATGTTCATAGATCTATTTATAAAGCTTGCAAACTACTTGAGCATACGTGCCTTTAGTTGTTACTGATCCCTGATAATAAAAGGCACAAAAAGGGATTTAAGTGAACAACAAATTTACATATATTTTGCAGTTCTCTTTCAATTTCTTGTTAATTCAGCACAATTTACATTCAAAAATGTTCAATTTGCAATTGAAATTCTTTCTCTAAAAATAGACTTCTAGAAATACGATTCTATTGTTTTGACTAGTCCTTTTCAGGAACCTCAGTCGAATTTCAGCGTGATAAAAAAGAAAAATAACCATATAGCGTGTACATTACAAATAGCAGACTTATTCGACAAAACTGTTGAATTTTGCATTATTTTAACAAAGAACTAGATATCTTGTATACCATCTATGCTCCCCAAAATAACCGGTGGCGTTTTTGAAATTATCAAATTATTGTCAACGGTTTAAAAACCACTACATAAACAGTCCTATATTGATAAAAAAAACGTATATTTGCTCGATTAGGCTTTAGTGATGATTCACTGTACAAATCATCTTCAGTTACTTTATTAAGTCTCGTTCTTTCCGCGTACGTTTAAAATTTAGTAATGACCTTGCCAGCACTTGGAAACACTCTAGTTTTGGCCTAGCCAGAGGTGCATTTTAACTGTGTAGTCTAATCAATTGAATTCAATAACGTCTTCATATGACCGCATCTAAGTTCATTCGTCTATTGAAGTCGGCAGTACTGAATGTGCCGGAAGGCACACTGTAGTTTAAGTCAATACAAACTAACTTACTTGGGTAGAAATTCAGCAATTTTGYATCGATTTATATTGTTTCGTGTTACAAAAGAATCGAGAACAATGCATGCGAAAACTATATTTCTTATATATTCACATAAGCACTGATAATACTCAGTGGATGCATATAATATATATTAGTGTAACGGCAACGTTTGAAATAGTTTTGAAATTGCTATTGTTTATAAACTTACCTTTTTCATAAATATACGGCAAACTTTCGGATTACATTCTGTTGGAAATTCAACCTTGACCTGTTTGAAATCCATTCAAAATTGTCCCACAGAGCCTGTGKAGCAAACCCTACCATGTGAACTATTTTTCACTTGAACCTCTTTAAACTTCGAGCATTAGATCATTGCGTCGTGACATCATCTGCGAAGAACGCGTACAACCACTACCAAATCATAGCCACTGAATTATCTGGATGAAAACAAAGTTGTGCGAGTCATGATAGTATTTTATCAATGCACTACAAAGAACTTATTATATTCAAAGCAACCGTTTAATATTAATATTTTATTTTATTTTGCAAGTTTAGGTATAGCGCTCACCTAAGTGGGGGAGGGGTAGAATGTTTTGTTGATTTTAAAAAGTAAGTAAGACTCAATTCCTCTCCAATCATCACAACTGTGGTTTTTTACTTCATTCATTTGCGGCCGTATCTAGGGAAAAGAAAGAAATGCCTGTCATCGTTTTCATAATGAAAGTAAATTTAAAACACTGACTGAACTTGTAAATTTTTAATCGCAAATCCTTTCATTCGCGGTACAAGGTAATGACATTAATAGGAATGATTTGTTTGCTCAAAATTTGTTAGTRAAAACCTCCTATAATTACCTAAAATATCTCATTAGAATCTTCCAATGACCAATTTACTAAATAAGATATTTCTCGAAAGGAACTGGACCACTAGAGGYAAATAAAATCATTGTATATTGGCGTGAAACCGAGGCAACTCTGATGTATYTTAACTGAATTTTTTCTCTGTCCTTAATGGGGTCAGGCCGCAGCTCCACTGAACAACGCTGGYAATTGGTTGGCGCAACTCAGAGTAAAACTAAAGATCAAAACATAAACAATAGAGGCCATTGTTCTGACCACCCAATCATAATAATGATTATATTTTACAGCAAGGAATAAAAAACGCTACGAAAATATGCACCTGACTCATAGCGACATTTTCAGCAACAGAGAGCATGTACGAGACACGTTACTCGTGTGTTACAACTTGAGTCGATCGTTTTCGATTGYAATAATATTTTCCATCTTGACCTTCGGGTTATTTTCTGTAGACCGCAATCAGACAATTCAGAAAGTAATCTTCCTTCAGTTCCAAAAGTTGATCTTGAAAAACAATAAACACTCGTTTCCTGTCATAACCCTATCCTATCAACTAGCAAAAAAAAAGAGAGATTATTTGAAAGACGCCCATATTATAAATAATCAAAGGTTATGGTGCCTGACATCATTTGAATATCGTGCACTTGGACGCTCCTTCACCCTCGCCGTTATCCTCAATTCTTATCTCGCGTTATATACATCCTCGAGAGCAATCAAAGCAGTTGGGAAATGATAAGAAAGCTCAACAAGTACGTCAAGGATCAATCGTTTTGCGTCGCATTCTCCAAACTCTTCTCTCTCGCTCTAATCAATCCGGGACCTCAATGTGCATAGCTATAGTGTGCTCTCGTATAAACCAATGTGCGAGCTTGACTGGAAGAAGCACCAACTAATATTCATACAGCATTGATTAGAAATATGAACATTTTTGACGGAAAATTWCATGGAAATGAAAATTTTTAGAGTTTCAAACAATCTCCAATTCTCGCATCGAAATGCTCAATTAACGAGCGCCGTATTATGAAAGAGAAGAAAAGTGGAAAGTTGGATAAAATTGCTCTTTTAACTAGTCTTTTCCGGAACTTAAAAAGAACTGAACTCCTGCTAAGTTCGACTCCCAATTTTTCGCGGGCAATTCAGTACTCTGCATTTATGCTCAAAGCAGACTTTGTGGTTGCATTACATCATGAGCATTTCTCTCTGTGGAAGCTTGTGTGTTCAGGCGAAGACATAGTCTAGAGTCAAATYTGGTAAAACTTATTCAATCAACCATTATGTCMGTGGAASTGATGCCAAAATTATCTCAGCAAATACTGAATCACGTCTGTTTTCTCGCAAATTTTTGTGGAGGGGAAAACCTTTGTTRATRGACGATCCCGCTGGCCAAAGAATGTTATGACTGACATTCAACTCACACCTTTCCGGTAGCTGAAAGACGACCCCCAATCCTCGCCTGATATATGGAATTACTTAAACACACATTCCTAATTGGATTGGACGTCTTTGTTGATTCAAGCCACAAGAACTTTGCTGTTTTAGCATTAGTTCTTCAATAGGAATCGTCTAAAATCTTCAAGGGACTATTTTGATCTATTCTATTGTGTTTCAAGCGRCAAAAGGTCCTYTCGAAAGATGAAGACATTCTTGGCAGGGATTCTTGTAATGGCCTCCGTTGTCGTGCGTTGTACGGTATGTCTAGCCTATGAACRGTTGCCTGCCATGATTAATCTTCACTGAYATTTTTCCAATTGCAATTTTAAAGAATCCTTGACTATGTGTTTTTACTAGTTAACCTGAAGAGATGGTGGTTTTCAAGTACTGCACTTTTAAGGCAAACGAATAGACGTGCTTTAAACGGAAAAGGTCATATATAGTCTATACCTATCTATACGGTTTTCCGGACGCTTKCCTGTTTTATATTCTTTAAAATTCTTCAAGTCATTTTCTTGACATATCAACTAACCYTTTTGGGCACCAAATTCCAGAGTTTTAATTTCCAGTTTTAAAAAAAACATTTCTTATTCAGGAAGCATATAACAATTTTATACATTTTTAACTTTTGTACATTGTACAGGACGCATGGCAAGTCTTGACTTCCTTGATGGATATTTTGAAAGTTTTATACCCCGTTAAAATTATCGCCTAAAGATCTTGTCAAAATTAACTTGGTGGCCATCATGTCTTTGTTCTTGCGSCTGTCTTTCCTCGCTTTGTCTCGATACCTATTCGATTTTTATCTAAATCATAATTGCTTGTCGATACCAATCGATTCAATGAATAGAGCGATATTTCCACAGCTTTATCTTTTTTATTGACATGTTTAGTCATCCAGAAGACATCTTGCAGTAGATTTGTGAATTCTTTACCTGAATAGGATAAACATTTTGTAATCGATATGTTTAGGCCGCATTCCAACACTTAAGTCGAGGAGGGTCTAAGATTTCTATGACAGACCTGACATGCACGTCCTTTTGCTGACGATTATTTTAACCTTTCATTTACTAAATATTGTTCTTTTTTGATCTTGAAGATCTAATTSAAAGTCCTCGCAGAAGACAGTATAGGAGTATTTAAACCCGACTAAGAATAACACCCGAAGAGTAATTTGCCATGAATTTTGCGGCAAAATCCCCACAAGGAACGATTTCCAACGCCAATCACCCGGACKTTTGTTTTAGAAGTTAAAATCCAAACTTTGGGATGCTATTTGAAATTCGTGACCATTGAATGCTCAAATAATAGTAATGAATATTTGAATGGCTTAAAAATGAGCTTAGCCTGGCTTAAACAAAATGCGAAATGATTGATCATCGTATATGAGATACTATAACACCTTTTGGTCGGAACGTCAGGTCTGATACTAAACAGGTTTATTGTCCAGGATCGAAATACCTCAAAAACCAAGATTATATGTACTATTAGTGTCTAAACAAAATAACATGTCGATTATAGAGTACAAAAAATTGTCTAGATTGTTCATTTACGTATATATTGCTAGTACAGTGCACAAACATACTTAGGCCTAAATGTATGTTGATTGCGGCGATGTGCAKTGGGACGTGTGTTGAAGAAACGCGGCATTAGTATGCACTAGATCGTTAGCAGATGTAAACCTGATGACAACTCGATTGAAAGAAACAATGGAAAAGAAAAAAATAGAAAAGGAAATCGTCGTCAGGAAAAGTTTCCGTGTAAGTGATAAGCAGAGATGTAGTAGACTGTATCCACTGCTAACTGATTGGCGGATTGGTCAGGCCAACATGTGGACTATAGAGGATGGCGCAATCCACCTCCCATTGTGTTTTACTCAGCAGCAATCGTCAATTTATTGATTACGAAAGAAATTCATGCTCTAGTTTTTTCATAATTCCTTTTCAGAAGAGAATGAATGTCGTTATTAATGTAAACCTTCTTTTTTATTTAAAAAGCACCTCAATCATTAAAATATTTGAGATTGAAACGGCATATTAACTTAGGCTTTTTTGAACAAAAAAWRMCATTTGACTAATTTGGACTTTCTTTTTCATTTTCAGATAGCCGATGACACGGCGAACCAGAACTCTAGCGGTTAGTGTCACATGTTTGGAAAATAARAATAAAGAAGAATTATTTTCATCATTTGATATGCCATGATTTTTCTACAGCTGACCCATGCTTACAAGTCATGTGTGACCGRGGGCGCATGTGCGTGTCCACGAACGGCATTTCTACCACATGCGTGTGCCCAGAATCGTGCAACAAAGAGTATGATCCAGTATGTAGTGCCTACAATCGACAGTTTAACAACACATGTGAGATGCACAGGTTTGCTTGTCGTTTTGGATTTTTCACCTCTGTGAAGAACAAAGGAGAGTGTTCACGTAAAGGTTCGTCGTCTACAGCGTTCATTTTACAATGAAAGTGTTTGCAGTGCTTTATTGCGCGGAAATTATACCTGTTCAGCTTAAAACAATTAGTTCATTGAGTAACCATAGAAGCTCGATAGAAGCAGATTAGTTAGACTCAACATGCAGGAGCTACCACAAGAAAACAATTCATCTGCACTTTGATCTGTCATCAAATTACGCCCTCCCCCCCGTGAATTTATTTATTAATATTCGTGAATAAAGAGTTGCCGCAAATCGTGACACCGTTGCCCACCCCCCTTCTTTAATCACGTAAAATTAAATTTTGCCCTCCCCCCCTCTGGATTTTCAACCCCCCTCCTGATAAATATTGCGCAGTCACTAATGATGGGACAGGTAGTATAATTTTTCTTTGCACCTTTTTCATATTCGTTGCGCTGAAGTTCCATTACTTTTGGCTTTACATAACTTTTATAACGATAAGTTTTTTCAATATTTAGTGCCATTAGTGACAGTAAAGCTCAAGGGAATCTGATTAACTTTCTCTTTATAGAGCAAGGAGACAAAGAACATTGTCCCATCGACCAATTGCTCGAGTTCCATGAACGATATTTGCTGTGGCTTTTGATATCATACAACGAGGAACACAACATTAAAAACAGCGCAGACATGACACCAGACGACATGGACAGTGATGAGCGAAAAAGACTTATTGAGGTGCGTATTGATTTTGTTTCATAAATGTGTTCAGTCTGACCCGTGAGATAGGTAAAATTTGATGACAGTTATTTTTTCTTTTGTAATGCAGTTTGAGTTTGTTTCACGCGATAAAAACAGCGATGGCGTTTTGGATTTCAATGAAGTCAAGGAGATGGTGGACGAAAGGGAACCTTGTATGGTGGCTTTCCTACACTCGTGTGACTTTGATGGAGTGGATGGTATTTCTCATAATGAATGGAACACATGTTTCCCATCAAAACTAGAAGGTAAAACTATAAGGCTGATCCTTCATACGTAATTGCCTTGCGCATGAGATGGATCTAGACTAATATTTAATGGAGTGGAGCTGTAAAGCCTATTGACTCCCTTCATTTGGTAATCTTACCTTATTTGAAATACAAATGAACTCATTTTTCCAGCTTCGAGGGCTTTAAAAGATCTAAACTTCCAGATATTTTAGAGACGAAATCACAAGTCGGCCATGATCAAATTCACTTAGAGACCACGCCTTTAGCAAAACCAAAAGGAAGCCCAAAACCACAGGGACCCCAGGCGAATGCATAATCGTTAGAAAATACATGCACCATACGGCAAACTAAGTTAAATATGGCTGTATATATTGCTGTGATCCAATATATTTGTTTTATATTTTCAGAATTCGACAATGAAGAATCATAAATTCAAAATGGATGGAAGTTTTTAAGCAAACTGCTTGTAATGAAATAATAATATAGTTTAAAAAAGATAGGCTTATAAATTTAAAGGATAATAGTTATCCCCAGGCTATTCTCAGTCAAATCAGATCCAAGATGCGAACAYTCTTGGCGCAAAAGTTAAATTGAAAATGAYTTCCCGCAGGAAGACTGGGAGTAGCCTGGGGACGATGCTTCGTCGCCCGCGCAACATAGCACTGCTACTGAAAGTCGAAAGCTTGCTTGTTATTATTTCCGACGTGAACACAGCTATAAACTGCGTCCTCGGATCGGGCATACAATGCTCGAGAAGGCTTTTGCTAGGTTAAAGGCTCATGTTTTAACATTTGTAGTCAATATATATAAACAAAATTTTAACTTCAAAATATCTAAGAAAATATTTGTTTTATAGTCGTGGGTAAATTGTGAAATAAAGTGCTTGGTGTTGCTCTTGCGTCTCTCTTGCTTACATCGTACTTACGTCTAGTGTCCAGTTTACGTTACAATCTCCTGTAATGGCCCGACTCTGGGGAACTCTGAGAAAGTGTCCGTCAGGTTGGCTGACTTATATGAGTCTTCCGCTTTCGTGAAGATCTCTAATAGATAATCCGTAACACAGAATAGCTTCATATTTTTGGTAGAATGCATCTTTTCAAGAAACAGATGATTCATTTTAGTGATTATAATTGTTTTATTTGCAATTCGGAGAATCCTTGTAGAAATATTTATTACTGTTATGCAGTAGAATCACATTTTGAAGTGTTACTTGTTTAAAAAAT